TTCGTTCCACAGATTGGATGCAAGTCGTTTCTTTATACAGCCAAGATCTCTGAATGTTAGTTTCTTTCCTCTTATTCTCCATCCTTCAATTCGCAGGGTTCGGCTTCCATCTCTAGTGCCGATCTATTCGGTCACCAACAAGATAATCTTTCCGCTGATCTTACTGCAACCGAGTTTATTAACCGGATTTCTATTCAGGTTCTAAGCTATCCTTGCTTGTTCTCGTGACCTTCTAAAACTATTTAGTGCATCTTAGCATTATGTTACATACATCCTTATTTAAATTGGCAGGCACAGCAGGATCTGTCTTCTCTCAAGAACATTGCTGGAGAAACAGGGAAGAAGCTAAGCTCTTTGGCATCCACATTAATTACAGATCTTCAGGACAGAATCATCTGATACAGTTTTAAGTCTTCGTTCTCCATTGTAGAATTTGGCCCAAACTCAAAACTCGAACTCGATACAGTTTTTTTTTTTTTTATTATTACCAGTCGATTTTATTACTGAGGAATGTAAAGAAAATTCAGTCTACAGATTCTTTCAAAAACGACGTTTTACCCAGGACTTGAATTGGGTGGTTCCTATGTTTTTCTAGCTTGCTGCATTGATGAACCATGTGCTTTAGTTCTCTTTACAGCAAACATACCATATTTTCACCCTTTCTCATAATAGCTTAGGACCTCAATTTGTATTGAGTTTTGCTTTTAGTTTAGAGTTTATTGTATGTGTTTCAATAATAATTGAGTGCTATATTTAAAGAACTAATATATAATTCTGCTATGTTCATTTTCTATTTGGAGTATGATTCGATGCGTTTTATGATTATTTAGTCTCGTTATTAAAAGGTTTAGGAGACCGTTGATCTATGAGATTAGTTTTAAGATGTCTCTCTAGTCTACGAAGTTTAGCAAATGGATTTGATCGTTCTTGGTTTCGGGAAGGAACTTGAGCATTGTACAACTGGTTTGGACATACCGCACAACGGGTGTGGACATACCGCCTGACCTATGACAAAACAAATTGGTCTTTTGTGCACGTTTATATTTGATGCTACTAAAATTTTATTATTATTATTTTATTTATGTGATTTTGAATTATTTTAAAAGAAATTTATTTGGAAGAGTTGTAAATTATCAGTAGAAAATTTGAATTGTTAAAATTTTTAAAATCTTGATTTAATAATTTAAGAAAGGAAATTATTCAATAAAGGAAAAATAGAAGTTAATTAGTGTGAAGAGTAACGAACTTTAGGGTTTTTAGAGAAAGGTGTAGTTGTTGAGATTTGAGTGAGATTGAAATTGTCAGTCTCCACAACGAACTGTTGAGAAAGGAATTAAAAAACGAAATCAACTGTCGATTATCGTCCTCCGCGTCCTTTCCTCTAATTCTCTCTTCAAATTTTCGTTTTCCCCCTTTTGTTCTGAAGCGGAAAGGTCCAATTTTTGGGAGTTTTTGAGTTTTCCCTCCCTTTTCAAATCATACCTTACAACCCCTCCAATTGATTTTCGTTTTCCCTCTCTTTTCCGGTTCCCCCGCTCCAATTTTCCCCTGAAATCTTCCCCCTCTTTTCTTTTCTCTCCAATTTTCCATAACCCATCTCTGTTTCGTTTCATTAGAGCTCGTTTTTTCTTGTATTCAGCGTAATTATCTTGTTCCACTCTCTTGAATGGCGACCCATCTGGCGGAATCTCAAGAAGCCGATAGATATTTGGTTCCTCCGTTGGAAATTGAAGGTGGGTATTGGCAGTCGACTACTGAAGAAGCCCTAACTCAGCAATCTCTGGCTCCGCCTTCGTCTTGTGGAGATGGGATTTTTTCTTTTTCGCCTATTGACGGCTCTGCTAATCAGTCTTGGGGTACTTCTTCGTTAAACCCTAATGAGTCTTCCTCATTTTCAATTTACTCGTCTGATTCTGATGGAATCGTGCCATTGCCCTCGTTGCCCGTTTCATCATTCGTTGACAATTCATTGAATTGTTCTTCAGAACAAGGTTTCCCAACAAGTTCAGTGGCTGCCCAAGAAGCCAAATCTTTGTCAGTGGTGAGTCCCTCTTGTAATTACCTCTTTGCAATTCGTTGTAATTGACAGTTTTTGGGCTTTGATTTTGGTTATGTTCTTATATGTAGGGTGCGGGGCTTGCAAATATGGGTAATACTTGCTTTATAAACGCAATCCTGCAGTGCCTCACTCATACTGCTCCATTTGTGGAGGGTCTTCGATCTGTCACTCATGATATGCCTTGTAACAGTAAGATCTCTATCATTTCCGATGTGTTCTATCTATTTAAGAAATTTTATTTATCCAATAGTTAAAGATTGCAAAATTGCACCGCAGGTGAAGATCTTTGTGTTCTTTGTGCAATTCGGGATCATATCGAGCTCTCCTTAACATCTATGGGCGGGATTATCTCCCCACTTCGACTTGTCGATAACTTGAACTGTATCCTTTTCTGTATTTTTTTCCACAAGATTTGTTTTCTTTCAAATTTCTGTTAATTAGTGCTTTTTGTCTGTTGTGTGATGTGATTATCTATGATTTTTGGATATGAATGGTTTGTGTTGCGTGTATTTGATGTTACAGTTGTTTATATACTTCTCTATTTGATCATATTAGCATTTGAAAACTTGGTATACTGTTGTTATTCTTAAGCTATTATTAGACTTCTCGTCTTGTTTTCGGAGATACCAGCAGGAAGATGCCCATGAGTTCCTGCAGTGCTTCTTGGATAAACTTGAAAGATGCCTGGTATCAGAAGTCAAGGATCAAATTTCTTTTGAGGATGATGATGATCTAGTGAATAATGTGTTTGGTGGTCGTCTCATAAGCAACGTAAGAACAATAATTATCTGTCCTGTTCTGTTTTGAGTATTGAGCTTCTGTTTCTAGTCATTTAACAATTTGCGTTATATTCAGCTATGCTGCTGTAATTGTGGCCATTGTTCTGAAACCCATGAGCCTTTGGTCGACCTGAGCTTGGAGATTGAGAATGTCGACTCCCTTTCTAGTGCTTTGGAGTCTTTCACCAAGGTGGAGAAGATTGGTGATCCAGAGACAAAATTCAAGTGTGAAAACTGCAAAGAAGAGGTATTGGTGGAGAAGCAGCTTAAGCTCGAAAAGATCCCTTTGGTTACTACATTCCACTTAAAGAGATTCAAGGCTGATAGTTCTTTCATTGAGAAAATCGAAAAGCACTTGGAGTTTCCGTTAGAGTTAGATTTGCAGCCGTACAGCGTGAGAGGGCGTGATGCAGAGGTGAAGCCTAAATTTTCTTATCTTAGGGTGATGCCCCACATTTGGTTTTGAGGTTCATTACTGATGTTTTCTCTGTCCTTCCCTTTGATGATGAAAGGTGGAGCTCAAGTATGAATTATATGCAATTGTGGAACACACAGGGTTTTCCTCTACTTCTGGACATTACTTCAGCTTTGTTCGCTCGTCTCCCGATACATGGCACAGAATGGATGACTCAATGGTATAACATTTATGAACTATTTTTCAGTTTTGTTTAGATTGGCAATAATTGAGTTAGTGATTAGTTTCCTTTCCATTCGTACTTCGTTTCGTCATCATTTTCAAAACTTTAGTAGCCGTTATGTATTTTTGAATTACGACATGTGATCTGATGTTGTGCTGTCGTGATCTTTTCGGCCTTGTGGATAATTACTATCAAGTGTATGCTTTAGGGAAGTGCAATAAGCTTGTTCTGAATAAGAAAAGCTCTCTGGTTTTGATGTTATGTAGGTTACTCCAGTTAGTGAAGATTATGTTCTGTCAAGGGAGGCCTACATTCTGTTATATAAGAGGAAGGGAACTTCATGGTTCTCGAGTTTAATCCAACAACGAGATCCTTGCTTAAATTCATGTTCCGATACTTTGCAAAGTATGGATACTGTTCGCTCTTCGTTGTCTGCTGAATCTATCGTCAATTGTGAAACTATGAATGTGCCTGTGGATATGTTGCGGCTGAGTCCTGCTCAGTTTTCTGTTGAAATGGGGGAGCAAGATACTGTTGCCAATGATTTGGGAAATCCTACCTCTGCTAACTTGCATATATTTGAGAGTGCAACACTCCAGTCTTCTCCCATCGTATCTAAGAACCTCTGCTCGAATGGAAATGATGAAGGTGTTGATGGTTTTCGTCCTCTTTCACCGACGAGATCTCCCAGCCCTGATATCGTTTTCCAAACTCCAGGTAAAGCGTTGTTCTTATCTTTATATGTTTTCTATTTGATATTGGTTGGACTGTATTGATCTAGGAAGTTTATATTTTGTTCAGAACCACAATACCAAATCCCAGTCAGTCATCTGAAGACCGAAAAGTGCTCGACGTCTGGAAGGCCATCGAACAAGGGTGTGGAAGATCCTGAGAGAAAAGCAGCCCTGAGATACATTAAGAAGAGCATGCCGGGTTCGAGAGGGTTGAAAATGATCAATGCTATATTGGGACCTCAAAATGAAGGTCCCTTAAACAAGAAGAAGAGACTAAGGTCATTGCCATGCAAAAGGTCAAGCCCGCCGAACAATCGTCGCAAAACGAGTATAGTTTTGTGATGCACTTCGTAGCCAGCCAAAACCGAAGTGAACCGAGTTGATAGATTTTGCTAAGTAGTTCCCTTGCCTTTTACCCTTCTTTTCTGTTGTTTTAGAGGTAAATATGTGGTGGAAGACGTTTAAAATTTATTTCTAGCTATCATAAGTTTGGGTTTTGGGTTCGACCTCGGTGAATCGAGATGCTTTTTCAATCTGTATAGAGAACGTTTTCAGTTTGAATGCTCTACATGTTATATAATCAAATTCTGTGTTGACAATCTGTTCCAATTTATTACTACTTTCTGATCTTGAATGATTCTTCAGAGATGATTACTATGCTCAATAGTGAAGAAAGTGTAGATTTTGACAGAATCAATGAGAATGTTTGTTGGTTTGTTGAGGAGAATCCAACACATTCTTAAAAGCATCAAAACTTGTTCTTTAATATTCTGAAGCCAGGTAAACATGAACACTACCTAGTCTTCCAACAACATTCTTTCCTTTCCTAATCTTGTTGTCTTGTGACATGGCAGAGGCTGGAGACGAAGCCATGGGAGACGACGATATGGCTACCCCGACTCCAACCCCGAGTTTCAGCTCATCATCAGAGGCTGCAAACAGACACATAGTGGTTGTCATGGACGGAATGGAAGAGTTCACGACAAAGCCACTCGAATGGGCGTTGGATAACATCATCAAGCCTGGTTGCGTCGTTACTCTCATCGGCGCCATGCCGTGGCTCAACATTCCTCGTTAGTAATCAAGTTTGTTTTCCTTTCTCTTGCACAATCTTGTTGTGTTTTCTTAAGATTCTTGTACTGTTCTTGATGAAGTTTCTTCCAAAACATGGTTGGATATTTGGCCGTTCAACTTGGAGGAGATGCCATTTGTGAGAGGGGAAAGGGAGTGTATCACTGAACCCAAGTATGCAAAACTTGAAGCTGTGCTATCTCTCTGTACACAATATGGTGTATGTATATATATCTATATATCTATGTATATATGTATATATGTATATATGTATATCATCGAGTATTGTTTGTTCTTCAGGTTGTGCCACAAAAAAAGGTTATAATGGGTCATCCACTTAGGCTGCTGATTGTTGAGCAAATCTCTGGGCTTCATGCAACATGGGTCGTATTTGACAAGTAAGCTATCTATCAATTGTGTTTGTTGAAGCAAGTTATTAAGAGAACTGATAATATAACAACAACAATGACAGGCATCAAAGAAATAACAGAGCCTTTTATGCCAAGAAAGTTAAATGCAATATGGTGATGCTCAAAGAAGATGGAGGTGTTGATATGATCAATAGAGAGCCTGAATTTCCTAGTGCTTCCACTTCTGATTCCAAACCCTCTTATTCTACATTAACTAGTTGAATTGTTGTCGTTTAAAGTTTCATACAACTTTTGATCTAGTTGAATCGAAGTTATCATGACTCAATCGGTTGATTTCGGGTATGCTCATGTTTAGCATAATTTGTGGGGATGTGTATTAGAATAGGAGGTGATAATATCTGTGCCTGGCTCCATAGACATCTCGACTCGTATACAAATTGAAAAGTAGTAAATCACACTAGAATTCGGATTACATTTCAGGAATGTTTATGAATCAATTAAGGGTACTTTATGTCCCGTTCTTTGATCATCACAATAGTAAACTTAATATTCATTAAGAACAACACAATTTTCATGGTGCATACCCACCACCATGTCCTCCGCCTTGTCCGCTGCCTCCGCCAGCTCCATATCCACCTCCTTGTGCACCTCCACCACCATAGCCGCCGCCGGAGCCGCCGCCTACTCCGCCTCCATGTCCTCCTGCTCCACTTCCTGAGCCACCTCCTTCTCCTCCGCCACTTCCGTATCCACCTCCATTTGCTCCTCCACCACCATATCCACCACCGGAACCGCCACCTCCGCCACCTCCATGCCCTCCTGCTCCGCTCCCCGAGCTGCCTCCTTGTCCTCCGCCACTTCCGTATCCTCCGCCACTTCCGTATCCACCGCCATTTGCTCCTCCGGCACCATAACCACCACCGCCTCCACTTCCCCCACCACCTCCTCCTCCATAGCCTACTCCCCCGCTACCATAACCACCACCTGACCCAGCTCCACCTCCACTTCCATATCCACCACCGGGGCCATAACCACCACCGCTACCACCTCCACTTCCTCCACCACCACCACCACCATTGCCATAACCACGATCTTCTCCACCCCCATATCCAGCGCCACTTCCTTCACCTCCACCATTTCCATATCCAACACCTCCATATGCAGAGCCACCTCCACCTCCGCGTCCTCCTCCACCACCACCGGCATATCCAGCGGTAACTCCATATCCGCTACCGCCACCCTCTCCACCACCATATCCAATAGAAACGCGGCCTAACACTGGGACTTGGACATTGGCATCATAGGCAACAAGGGTTCTGGCTGCAGAAGCTAACCCAAAACCCAACAAAGCAAAGAAAACAAGGTATTCGATTGCATGATTCTCCATGGTATTCAAAACACAAGATCTATGTCTATAATGCATATTCTGATCCCTTTATATAGGAATTGGTGGAGTGAGGATCAGCTTCTAAGTGGGTTAAAAAGCACATGCAAACGTGGCCCAATATCCATTACCCATTAGTGTGCCTCAGCTGTTTCCCATAACTGTGTTTCACCAAACAATCGACTTCCAATCAATCAAATTTCACCTTCACTTTCACCTGCTCATCTACTCATGCTTTGGTCCATTGCCGGTTATCGTTAGTTTTACGGTTTTCAAATGCGTATACTAGAAAGAGATTTTCACACTCTTATAAGAAGAACTGGTATAAACGCTCAGTATCTGGCTCTGATACCATTCGCAGCCATCTAAACCTACCACTAATAAATATTGTCTACTTCGGCTTGTTACATATCGCCGTCAGCTTCTATAAAGAATGTTTTGTTCCCTTCTCCAACCGAGTGATATAATCATTTTTCATATAGTAAATTTCTTTTTAGCGAGTCATTGTTCATGGTTTTTCCCATTTGGAAGTTTTTCACGTCAATTCCTCCACCTTAATCCAAATATTAAATTTTTGTTGCATAAAATTAATGAATCAATTAATAAATTTAATGGATTACAAAATAATAAACATAAGAACACTAAGAACAATGCTTAGATGGATGGGTGCGACATTCAACAAATAGTTGGATATGTGCCACTTCATTTACCTATTAGTTATCATTAAATGAATCGATCTCCATTCTATATCTATCTTGGTTCATACTTGAAACCAAAAAAAATGGACTTATTTGAAGAGAAGTTAGGTCACCACTTTATTAATCTTGAAAAGTATTAACTATTCTCGATCGACTTTTCTTGAATTGTTTTTAAGAGTAAAGATCGTTCTCACAAATCGACATGAATCCTTTTAGAATGCTCTTTTCTCATTCATATGTTTTTCTAGAAAAAAATTTCGAAGGTCACATGTCATTGAATTAATTTTAGAGTTTCTATGATTGAACCACGAAAAAAAATGTGCACCTTGTTGGTATAATGTGAGATCCCATATCGGTTGGAGAGGGGGAGCGAACCATTCCTTCTAAAGGTGAAGCTTTTACTCTATTAGGGGTGAAGCTTGCCCAAGCAGAGGTGAATATAGCTTCTTCCTTTATAGAGCATGTGTAACGGTTGAAGCCCACTGGTAATAGATATTGCCCTTTTTGAGTTTTCCGTTTCGAGCTTCCTTTCAAAGTTTTAAAACGTGTCTTCCCGGGAGAGGTTTTCACACCCTTATAAAAAATGCTTCGTTCACCTCTCCAATGAACCGTTACAACATGAAAGCTTAGTGTTGAGGATTGTTGGGAGAGAGTCTCACGTTGGCTAATGTAGGGAATGATAATGGGTTTATAAGTAAGGAATACATCTCCATTGGTATGAGGCATTTTGGGGAAGCCAAAACGGAGATTGGTATGTGGCATTTTGGGGAAGCCAAAACAAAGACATGAGAGCTTATGCTCAAAGTGGACAATATCATACCATTGTGGAGATCCGTGATTCCTAACACTTAGATCTGTGGAAGAAACTTTAAAGGCTAAAACAGAACAACGCAGCTAAACTCTTAGATGAGGAGAACAAAACATTTCTTATAAAGGTGTAGAAATCTTTCCCCCTGAAAGGGAAAGTCCAAAGAGAACAATATTTGCTAGCGGTGAGCTTGAGTTGTTATATAAAATGCTAGAACAATGTTAGGAACCATGACTATCCACAATAGTATTAATTGTCTACATTGAACAAAAGTCTAATGACTTTGAATTTTTTGATGAAATGTGCACTCTTGTTTCTCAACACAACTCGCAAACAAGTTAGACCCAACAAATAAATGATGCTCGTTCTCATGTGCGACCTCTAACTTTATCTATTTAGCATTGTTCTAGATGAAAGTTAGCACGGTTCTAGATGACTCTTCTACCACAAATCTTCACTAGAACTACACATTCGAAATTTATAACTTTTTTGTTCGAACACTTGAGAATTCTATTGATATGGATACCATTTGATAGGAACAAAAACTTCCTCAATGATATGATATTGTCCAATTTGAATATAAGCTCTCCTTTTGGTTTCCTCTAACAGACTAGACGGGTATAAACTAATATGAAACTTTAACAATTCTCAACAAACCACCATAATTCTCGAGTTTATGCAATATATGAAGGTGGGATCGAACTAATCGTAGCAAATTTGAGAGAAAGAGGGTAGTGTGAACTATGAAGTAGAAAAGTAGCAGCAAAAGAGAGTGTGTAATGGACACTTATGAATTCCCACAAGCTAATGCCCAAAACCCTTTGCCTTTATGGTTTGATGGATCATTGTTTTTGAATCATAACAACGTGTGGGTCTCTCTCTCCATTATCTCATATTGCTTCCTTTAGTGGACCTCTCCTTTTTGTTCATGCTTCAACAAGCTTTGTATTTCTACACTTTTCTTCTTCTTTAATATGCTTTAAATGCATCATTTCTGACGTCTAAATGAAAGTATGCTCTTCAAATCCCATTCTCGTGGTATAGAGATCAAGCTCGATCTGAGAATATTTGTGAGATCTTACATCGTTTAGATAGGTAAACAAAACATTCTTTATAAGGGTGTGGAAACTTTTTCATAACAGATGTGTCCTAGAACCTTGAAGAAAAACCTAGAAGGGAAACATAACCGCTTATGAAATTTGTTCAAAACTAAATCAAGTTGGAAATAACAAAGAGCTCAACAACCAGTTTTGGACCTAATATGACTCAATTTTTCATCCTCATTTCGATTTCGAGATTTGTTTGTTCTGATTTTCCCGAGTTTTAGACTGATTTTAATTGCTTTTCAATTGTTAGACACTCTTTTATTGTAAGCGCACACGTAGATTATTGGTCATTATGTTATGGACATAGAGTAAATTGTCTATTTGTGTGCATAAGAACTTTACAATTTCTTCGGATCGAGCTATGCTCGTAGCAAAAACTATCATGCTTTTCAAGTAAGTGGCGCTTCAAAATTTTGGCTTTGGCTATGCTTGTAGTATGTATGAAAGCATGATATAAAAAGGAATTTTATAGAAATTTGAGCCTAAGCGGAATTGATTCAATCCATGAAACAAGTATGCCGAAGTTATATGAGGCATGTTTTTCGAGAAATGAATTGTTAAGCTCTTATTTGGATGGACTTGAAAACATGCCTTTAGTATGATAAAGAGTACGTTATAGGAACTTGTTATAAATATTTAAGCATGAGATGATATATGTTAAACGTTATTATACATGTTTTTCTAAGAAAAGTATGAATTGAACTATGAACGGTATGATTTTGAAATTTTGAATAGGTGCCCATGTTAGGTCACTATGCTCTGTCTCTATTGTATATGTATATGTATATGTCACGACCCAAATTTTTACAGTGAACCGTGAACGACAGTGTTGTGTAGTGTGTCTGGATGAAAAACTCGAAAAGACATCAACACAAAAATCATTTATTTCATAAGAAGAAAGTTTAATACAAAGAATCAAATTGTTGACAAGTTTTTACAATGAAAGGTTGTGAAAATAAAAGACTAAATTGATGCCCCGGAACATGCTTTCCTCTGTGACCATCCACGTCTCTCATTTGGTTCGTAGCATCACGAATCTAAAAAGAAAAATGTAGCAAGGATGAGTATAAAAGTTATGCTTAGTAAGTTACTTACTTGTAGGCTCTCATCGCGTTCTAGGCTGAACAGATTTCCACGGACATACAAGCATTCTATACATCATGCTTCCATATTCTTGATTCTCTAATCACCTAATTTCATTTCATGGTAAAACTATCCACTTAGGGTAATTATTCTAGCATGCATGCAATTCAAGCGAATCCTACCTTCCTAAATACCATGAGGTGACTTACATGATTGATGAGTGCCTTTTTGTTTAGCGTTTCTACACAAATAGGGTGTCCAAAAAGTGTGATTTTCATTGATTAGGTCCTAAGTCACATAAAAATATGGTTAGAATTGGAATTGGGATAAAAATCAAGCAAACGAAAGTCGAACGAACTGAAAACCCACTTACACACGTCGGCACGCGTCAAGAGAAGTCTTACTCATGGCTACGCGCGAGTACCACGCACGTGACAACTTTCTGCAGTTGCAGGTTAGGCATCTGGTTCGTGTCGCTCGAGTTGGACTGATGGGTTGTGGGTTGGATCGGGTCGGTTGGTAGATTGCGGGTTGATTAGGGTTTGTAGAGGCTGCGTGTCATGGAATGAACAAAGCTGCGTTGCTCCACACGACGTTCGACGCATAGCTCCACTCGTTGCCTGGCATTTTTCTTACGCCTGGTAGTATATGCGATTCCTTTCACCTGTTGACGCATGGCTCGCCGAAAATTTTTCTCTCTCCTAACGGATCACGAAATTGATTCTAGTTAGTTTTCATTTTCTGTTCTTCATATCTTTTGAGTCTTATCTCGAATTGAAATGTTTCATTGACCAAAGTTATAACATGTAAATCCATCTATGCCACATTATTTTTCTTGAATTTAAACATCAACCACAGACTGAGTTACGAGTCAGAAATAGGTTACTTTTGGATTGAGATCTCGACCATACTTCTTCACAGATCCTATAGAAGTAGGCGCTATGAGGGGCTATGGAGTTTTGGACTTATCAGCCACTTTGTACTTCTTTTGACTATGTTTTTGGAACCCTTGGTTTTTGTATTTTTAGACTATATGAACCATGTTTTGGGTGTGCCCCTTGTGTACTTTAAACGTTGTTTTAAGATTGAATTAATTTTCTTTGTGTGCATGTAAGTTTAAATAGTTAAACTAATGCATGTTTTTAAATATTCCACATCTTTAAATAACTGTATGTAGCTTGAGTTCCTCAAGACGAGTCGTTACAGAAAACTATCTCTACAAACCAACACGAGTCATTTTAGCATGCTTTATCTTCAATCATGTGCTTCTTAACAAAAATAAAATTCCTAGGAAGTTACCTAATATAAGATTACTTGAAGCTAACCACGTTTCATTTTGAAATATCTATGACTCGACCACTTAAATGGAATGCAAACCTTAATCGGTACCGGCATAAATTTCAATTCTTTTAAACCCCCAACCATTTTATCTTTAGGGTTCAATTTGGTATGGGTTATCCAAATTTGTTTTATCATTAAACCATTGATTCGAATTTGACATTCGTTCGACATAGATTCAGAAAACAACATTCTCTAACCCAATTTCTTTATTTTGTTAACATAATGAATATTGGGTTCATTACTTAGAAAGGGTTTCAATTCTTGTTTGAGATGGAGTTTGTGAGTGCATATCCACCGTCATAACCTCCTTCTTCTCCACTTCCTTTGCTATTATCATGCTCTCCTCCATGACCTCCTCCACTGCCGTAAGCACCGCCGGCCCCAATTCCAGAGCCACCAGCATGGCCTCCGTAACCACCGCCGGCGCCAATGCCAGAACCACCTGCATGGCCTCCTACTCCGTCTCCCCTTCCATACCCACCGTCGACTCCTCCACCATTTCCATATCCATGGGAATCTCCATACCCATTTCCATTTCCATTTCCATTTCCATTTCTACTTCCATAGCCGATATCATGATCTCTTCCTTGCCCATACCCACCATTGCCTCCATTTTCATAACCTCCACTTCGCCCACCACCGTAACCAACACCATGATCTTCTCCACCTCCATATCTACTCCCACTTCCATATCCTGCTCCTCCTACGCCCGAGCTAACCCCTCCTCCGTATGCATTTCCTCCACCGTTACCATATCCCGAACCCCTTACTCCACCACTTCCATAGCCTGAACCTCCCAGAGCCGACCCTCTGACTCCATATTCTCCACCCGATCTTCCACCATATGCATTATCATAGGATTCGTCACGATGCCCTGAATCGTACCCTTCTCTAGGGTTAGGGCGATCGTAGCCATAGTGACGTGTTCGGGGATCATAATCAAGAAGGGTTCGGGCAGCGGAAGCTAAACCCAACCCTACAAGGAGAAGAAAGGTAAGGCACAAGACTCTAGTGATAGCCATGGAGAGAATTTGAGGATACCTAGAATGAATCCATTGATCTCTTTATATAGGAAATGGTGGAGGGTTCATCATCTTCTCATGGGTGTGCTTAATGGTAAAGAGGGCGCCACATGGGGAAATAAAAAACAATTTGGATATGTATCTCCACAAATGTCGATGAGGCAAGCACTATAATGTGCCTTTTCTCCTATTTGGCTCACACATTAGATTTGAACTAAATTCATATGAATATTTAAGTAAGGTTATGATCCCATCCTCCATTTACAAGATCCTACAATATTTTGTAAGATTGAAAACGGAAGGTCACTTAATTTACTTTTATCTGTTCTTCTTACTTCACATTAGTTAAGGTTGTTTTTTAATTTAACCGAACGATGTTTGCAACCATTATTACAGAACTGTTTTGTGATTGAATTTCAAGCATTTTCATGTTGAGTTTGTCATTTCTTAATGGTTAGATTTTGTTGTTCTAAATGTTTTCATTTTTAAGCTTAGGCCTTCTCTTGCTAAGTTATTTGGTTACATCGAATATGACCCTCCAATCTAAATTTCTCTTCTTCAATAAGGATTAATAGGAGCATTGTAGAAAGATATTTGTATGATTAAATTCACAATGCCTATAAAAATCCACTACCTAAAGAACATATATTAAATTAGGGTTCTTTATCCCTTTTCTTACTTGAACCGCCATGAGATTTGATACATGAAATAATGGATTATGAAACGACATTGCATTACTATAATATCTTTTTCATATCATATATGCATGTTTCCCTAATTCCCACTTGAACAAAATACATTAAATAATCTCTCACTTGGAGTACAATAATGGTGGAATAAATCATCACATTTTAAGGATATTAAATTTCATCATGTTTGCACTCAAAATAATAATAATAATAATAATAAAATTTCTTGGTGCTTTAATTGAGAGTGATGCACTTAATTTTACTTTTCAGATATATTATCCTTTCCATAAAATTTTAATCTTTTTCATTTATGGTAAAAATGATTTAAAATAAGCTACAATAGTGGAAAAATTAGAAATCAATAAAATTGGATTTTAGGTGTCTGGTTCAACTGAATCAACCATGTCATCATCTTCTACTATAGAAAAGGGTTAGTGTTGCACATCTCGACCTACTAGAGACTAAAAGTGAGATTTGTCCAAGCATTCTATGTCTTGTCTTGAGGTTTCTTCATCAAACTTGCAGACATGGTATTTACTTGGTCTTGCATGCCTTATTCACTCTCGTTTCCTACTTGCACGGTGGTCCAAAATTTCACAATTTCACTACTCGACCCTAATTCAAGTTATAATAAGCTTACTATTAAAAATGATTTGGAAACAGTCAAATAAAAGGTCGAATCGAATGGGAAAAACTAACCCTTTGGGCATCACACGTGATTGGAAAAACTCTTACATGAAGGTTTCATGCTTTATTGCCACGAGCGGGTCCAAATGCATAGTCGTCGGTGTTCTTTGTTTCGAATCCCAATTGACGTATCTCAAACGAATTTATGGATATCTTAAAAGAACTAGACGCATGTCTAAACTTAATCCTTTGTTACGATGAAAGAAAATATCATGCTCACTGAGTTTTATAGTTAATGTCTCATATAGTTTCTTTTCACCAATACATACTAGAGTTCGAAGTATAAATGAGAATGAGATTTCTCATATCAATTTTAAAGACTTCTAAATCAAAGTCTTGAATCATAACTTCTCTAGTCAAGAAATATTATTGGGTTCAGAGTCTTATTATTCTACTTCACGGTCAAATCTAAGTATATTTGAAGTTTCTTATAAAATGATATTTGATTCAAAACAAACATTTTACCCACTCAAACACTTTCAACCTATTGGATATAGCCCACGATCAAAATATGTTGAAATAAATAAAAAATCATGTTGTTGTAAAGAGCATACATCTCAGGAGTATTTACAGTGGAGAAGTCACAACTAGTTTCCTAAACTTTCCATCCAAGTTACGACCACTAGCAATTTTCGTGAATAAATCATAACTATTTTCTAAACTTATTCAAGTTAAAAACTTTTTTTACCAAGTCAAGATTAATGACTCATATTCTCCCCAGTAAGCTTGATTTTGCTGTAGATTCTTGCTTTCGAATAACTTCTGCATGTTTGTAAAGCTTAACTCTTGCTAAGGCGTTGGTGAGAATATTTGCATGTTGCTCTGTAGTGCCAACATTGCTTGGTTCGTGATCAACTCTGTATTTTTCATAAAAAAATTTAATTCCACAACATGCAATTTCTTCCGCTTCTCTCTTATGTATAGGGACTTCATCTTATAGGGTACTCCTTTGTCTTTCAACCTTTTTCTTTTATACATGCCTCTAGCCTCGTTTGGTTGAGAGGACAAGTTTGATGTCCCATTTTTCTTACGCCTTGGTGGCCTTTCTCTAGGCCTACGTGGTTAGGTTGTTCTTCGCTGAGTGTAGTAGTCTATGGTTTCTTCTTGGCTATGTTCTTCGGTTCCTTTTTCTCTTGACACATTGGTTTCTTCTTCACTTTCTTGTTGTCAACGCCAATGGATACTTTTGAAAGAGTTTGATGGTCTTTCAATAGTATCTTATACCGACAATTTTGCAACCGTTTTACTTTCATCAACAAAACTTAGTTTTTATTGTATATCTTGAGGAACGAGTCAACTATCTCTACTCTAATAATATCTTGAGGAATGTTTATGTTGTCAATTGACTAAGGCTAATAATATTTCTCTTCAACTCGACATGTAATATACTTTAGTTAATAGACATTGATCGTCGTTCTTACACTGGAACAAGATAGACACTATGCCTTGGATCGGTATAATTGATCATTCGCTAAACTTCATGTTTCCAGTGAGCTTCTCATCAAGCTCTTTGAACTTTGCTCGATTTCCGGTCATGTGGTTGCTCGCTCCATTGTCTAGGTACCACATTCTGGTCTCCACTTGATTTTCTCCATCAATGAAGGGGTTTGCAGAACCTTCTCTTCATTGAGCACCAACAAGTTGAGTATTTTCTCGCCCAACATCAATGTGGGCTCATCATCATCCATGGACATGAGGTTTGCCTCCTCATCACGCCCATTGTTGTGGCACTCTACTGCATAATGCCCGTATTTTCCACAAGAGTAACACTTGATCATACTCTTGTCCTTCCGGGGCTTGGCATTGACATGAATTTGTGAGGTATTGTGACAACCTCCTCTACTACCACGTCTACGGTCATGTCCACAACCACGTCTACGACCTCTATTTTTTTTGTTATGGCTCCCACGTCCCCTCATACGTGAAAAAGAAGTGTCATTGCATCTTTCTTCTTCGTCTGTGCGAGCCACTCCTCATGTGTGAGTAAGAGGTATTTCTCATCCTCTTTATTTTCGTAACCACGAAGTCTCTCCTCATGAACCTTAAGATGGCCAATAGCCTTTTCAACCGACATGTTCTTGAGGTCATCGAATTGCTCGATGGAGGCAACAATCTGCATGAATCTTGGGGGAACTGCTCGAAGGAACTTCTTGACGACGGAGGTCTCCTCCACCACGCCACGTAATGAACAGACACCGCTGACAATCATCGTCAACTTCATGAAAAATCTGTCTATTGACTCACTGTCCTTCATGCGGGTAGCCTCGAATCACTCTTCAAGGTCTCTACCTTTTTGCTTCCTTGACACGTTTCACACCCAAATGCATTGTTTGCAGTGCCTCCTATGTTGCCTTTGCCGAGTCCTTCTCTGCCAACATGAGAAGTACGTCCTCCAAGGTTGCTTGATAGATGGTGGCAAGAGTCATCTTGTCGTTATGCTCCTCAACGTCACCATGCTCGACGATGTCCTGCACGCCTTGTGTCTGTAAGTTAACACGCATCTTTATCGACCATTGATAAGATAAGGAATCACTACAAGGGGAGCAAGATTGGATTACCTTGTTGATCGAATATCTCAAGGCAAGAACATTTTTTGAGATTCGAATCACTCCATAAGCAAGATCGATCATGTCTAGCTTGAATGATGCTTGTTGATCAAATATCTCAAGGCAAGAACACTAGTTTGAGATTCGAATCACTCCACAAGCAAGATTGATCATGTCGAGCTTGAATGATTCTACATGCAATCTAAACTACATAGAATTGCAAAGAAACTTAGCCATTGGCTAAAGAAGAGCACAAATGCTTCTTTTACTATATTTTCCGAGTCTTCTTACAAATACAACGTACATGGCTTTATATAGCCTCAAAATGAAACTATTAAAGACATTCCAAGAGGTGTAACCTTCCACTTTATAGCCATAATTAACCATTATATAATTGTAACCTAGAGTAAATAAAAAGTCTTAAAATACATTAATAAAATACAATAACTCTAAATTAAAATTCACTCAAAATTTATAACATGAAACTTCATTTTCTTCAATGTGGCATGAATTGAAATATCTTTGATAATTTCAACAATATTTTCTTCACATCTTCATTGAAGTATATTGTATGATGGATGTCTCTTGGTTCATATCAACCATGTTACGTAGTTACTATTCGTGTGTAATAGGTTCTGGAACGTTACATTCCCCTCCCTTCCACCCCTTATAGTTTTCACTTCTCCAACCGTGACTCTGTAAGGTGACGAAATTTGTTTCGGCATCTTGCTCTAATACCAAATGTTGGATATGACCCACGATCGAAATATATCGAAACAAATGAAAAAAGCAACAAGAGAAACCTAAGGGGAGAGATCTTGTGAAACAAAGAAACGTTTAAACACTGAGCATACCTCTCACGAATATTTATGATGAGAAATCACAACTAGTTCCTAAACTTTTTCTTGGTGTTAAAATCACTAACCACCCATAAATAAATCACAAACTATTTTCTAAACTTCTTCCGGTCAATAGCTCATAGAATCTAATACTTCCCTTTAAAAGTAACCTTAGATTTTGAGTTGCGATAGATAGATGGAGAAAATAAGTATGATAGAATCAATTTGCTCAATACCAATGTAATCCAAATTTTGTTTTATCATTGAACAGTTGATTCGAATTTAACATTCATTGAAAGCGGTTTCGACATAGATATAGAAAACAACATTCTCTAACCCAATTTCTTTATTTTGTTAACATAATGAATATTGGGTTCATTACTTAGAAAGGGTTTCAATTCTTGTTTGAGATGGAGTTTGTGAGTGCATATCCACCGTCATAACCTCCTTCTTCTCCACTTCCTTTGCTATTATCATGTTCTCCTCCATGACCTCCTCCACTGCCGTAAGCACCGCCGGCCCCAATTCCAGAGCCACCAGCATGGCCTCCGTAACCACCGCCGGCGCCAATGCCAGAACCACCTGCATGGCCTCCTACTCCGTCTCCCCTTCCATACCCACCGTCGACTCCTCCACCATTTCCATATCCATGGGAATCTCCATACCCATTTCCATTTCCATTTCCATTTCCATTTCTACTTCCATAGCCGATATCATGATCTCTTCCTTGCCCATACCCACCATTGCCTCCATTTTCATAACCTCCACTTCGCCCACCACCGTAACCAACACCATGATCTTCTCCACCTCCATATCTACTCCCACTTCCATATCCTGCTCCTCCTACGCCCGAGCTAACCCCTCCTCCGTATGCATTTCCTCCACCGTTACCATATCCCGAACCCCTTACTCCACCACTTCCATAGCCTGAACCTCCCAGAGCCGACCCTCCGACTCCATATTCTCCACCCGATCTTCCTCCATATACATTATCATAGGATTCGTCACGATGCCCCGAATCATACCCTTCTCTAGGGTTAGGGCGATTGTAACCATAGTGACGTGTTCGGGGATCATAATCAAGAAGGGTTCGGGCAGCGGAAGCTAAACCCAACCCTACAAGGAGAAGAAAGCTAAGGCAGAACGCTCTAGTGATAGCCATGGAGAGAATTTGAGGATACCTAGAATGAATCCATTGGTCTCCTTATATAGGAAATGGTGGAGGGTTCATCATCTTCTCTATGGTGTGCTTAATGATAATTAAAGAGGGCGCCACATGGGGAAATAAAAAAGAAGATAATTTGGATATACACCTCCACAAATGTCGATGAGGCAAGCACTATAGTGTGCCTTTTCTCATATTTGGCTCACAAATTAAATTTGAACTAAATTCATATGAATATTTATGTAAGCCTTTGATCTCATCCTCCATTTATAAGATCTTGCATGATTTTGTAAGATTTAGAGAAAGAGCAAAGAAACATGATAATTTATTTGGTTTTAGGAAGATATTTGTATGATTAAATTCACAATGGCTATAAAAATCCACTACATAAAGAGCATATATTTAATTAGGGTTCTTTTTCCCTTTTTTAACTTGAGCCGCCATGAGATTTGAGACATGAAATGGGTTATGAAACGACATTGCATTACGATAATATCTTTTACATATCATTAATGCATGTTTCCCTAATTCCCACTTGAACAAATACATTAAATAATCTCTCATTTGGAGTACAATAATGGTGGAATAAATCATTACATTTTAAGGATATTAAATCTCATCATGTTTGCATAAAAAAAATAATAAAAAAATATTGTAGTGCTAAATATATTGGGAATGATTTACTTTATCCATTATAGTTAAAATTTTAGAATTTTAACGCTCTCAAACAATATTTTCTTCTACGATTAAAATGATCTAAAACAAACTACAATACTAGAAAGATCAAATACTGGATAAATTGAATCATGGGTATCTAGTTTAACTGAACCAACCATGTCATCATCGTCTACCATAGAAAAGGGTTAGAGTTGCACGTTTCGACCTACGAGAGATTAAAAGTGAGATTCGTCCAAACATTCTATGTTTTGTCTTGAGGATTCTTCATCAAACTTGTAGACATGATATTTACAAGCTAAGGTATACGTTTCATCTGTTGTAATTAGACTTTAGGTATTTTAAGCTTAGATCTAAAGCTATATGAACTTCTAGGAGACTTCGAAATCTTGAGTCATTCTCTTGCTTGTCACAAACTCAATCGAAGTCAGATAGTTGTTCACATTTTCTAGCGTTGCAGATTTACTAGACTAGCTCATTGGGATTAATTTGATTCTCAGAGCACTAGGGTCTAGACCTCTGATCATTGCTAATGATCTTGAGGTGATCGGTCTACTAGAGGTATCTTGACCTAGGTTAATCGTCAAACTATCCTAACTATAGCGTCTTATTCTTAACTTAATACATTCATGCATGCTCAAATAAGGAGATAACTCAATTAAGCATTAGAGTACAAATCTCATTCTCAAAGTGTACATACATGCTTAGCAGGAAGATAACTTAATCCATCACTTGGAGTACATATCTCATTCTCAAAACATACATATTAGCTCAATAGAGAGATAATTCAATCAATCACCTTGAGTACAATTTCAATCTCAATATAGAGTAACTAATACAACGAAAACATCTCACACAATATACAAATTAGAAATCTCATTCTAAAGACATTTCAAATATTTGTGTGTATCATATATAGCATATTTAAAATCTTAGCTCAATTCTATACCTTAGACATGCATTTTTTAGCTATGTATAGTTGATCATATTTGCATGCTATCAGATTCTAGCGATTCATATAAGTACTGCTCAAGAAAATTTATATGGCTACTTACTTAGTCGTGCATGCCTTACTCACTCTTGTTTCCTGCTTGCTCGGTGCTCCACAATTTTAGAATTTCACTAGCGGACCCTAATTCAAGTTATAATAAGCTTATTATTCAAAATGAATTGAAAACAGTCAAATAAAGGTCGAATCAAATGGGTAAAACTAACCCTTAAGAGGCATCACATGCTATTGGAAAAACTCTTACATGAAGGTTTCATGCACTCCTGCCACGAGCGGATCCAAATGCACAGTCCTTGATATTCTTTTTTTCGAATCCTAGCATACGTATCTGAAACAAATTTATAGAGATCTTATAAGAACAAGACGCATGTCCCATTCACTGTGCGCTCGTCCACACTTCGAGACTAGTCGGAGGTAACACACTGGATTTTTCCCTCGTTTTTCTATGTGCAACATGTGGCCTCCCCAAAACATGCGTATGTTCGCCTATTAGCTCCAACCGTAATAAAAAGGTCATCTTGGGTAACTCCTCCATATCTAAGGGAGAAGCTCATTGTTACTTTCTTTCAATCAAGGTTGTCTAAATTTAATCCTTTGTTACGATAAAAGAAAATCTCTTAGTTAATATATCGTATAGTTTCTTTTCACCAATACATACTAGAGCTCAAAGTTTAAATGAGAATAAGACTTCTCATATCAATTTTAAAGACTTCTAAATCAAAGTCTTTGAATCATAACTTCCCTAGTCAAGAAATATTATTGTGTTTGGAGTCTTATTATTGTACTTCCGGGTCAAATCTAAGTACATTTGAAGTTTCTTATAAAATGATCTTTGATTCAAAACAAACATTTTACCTATTCAAACACCTTCAAACGATTGGATATGACCCATGATCAAAATATCTCGAAACAAATAAAAAAAACTAAAAAGAACAACTTGAGGGGAGAGATCTTTTGAAACAAAGAAACCTTAAGTACTTAGCTTTTCAATTCTGTTTGTTGTGGTAAAGAGCATACATT